TCAGAAGGTTTTATTTTGCAACATCGTTCTTAAATCATTAATATATGGGTACTTAATTTAGGTTAAGTTAATTAAAAATAATCAAAAAAAAGGTCGCTAGGTGAATAAATATTGTTCCCAAATTATTGAAGGTTACGATAAACCAAATATAATTTATAGAACAAGACTCAAGGTTAGCAGACTCTGATCCTAAGAAAAGTGTAGAGTAAGAAAAGCTCACATAAATGTAATCCATGGTTCAGAACCTAAAATGGGGATTTTAGGTTCTGAGTGTAACGATAAATGTATTGATTTTACAATGATGTGTGTTTTTTTTTTTTATTTTGTGTCTGTCATCACCTTTTAGGACAGTAAAAATGCTTTGATTTTCTTCAACAGTATCTTTTCTGATAGGAAAGTGAATCTAGTTGGTACTTTGGGGGGTAAAAAGTAAAAATTGTCCAGTAGTTTTCAAAAGCAGAATGATAAACAAAAGAAAAGTTAAGGAAAACCAGAAATTTGTACGGAAAATCTATTTTCGAAAAAAATCGATTTTGGTTTTTGTGCAACTCAATAATAAATTATCGTAGGTACATGAAATTTTGACTGAATGTTTATATTATCATTTTTTACACAAAGTTACATTTTTCAAATATTTTGATTTATTTTGAGCTGTTTACGGACATTTTCAGTTTCCATTTTTTTTAGTTTTGTTTTCTATAAATATCAATAAAATTTTATTTGTTGGTTAAAAAGCTTGAACATTTAATAGAAGGCTACTAGTATATTGTTTCAAAGGTAGATACAAAAAATTAAAAATCCATGGTCACAATTTTTTAATGCTATCAGTTTCCCCTTCAGTTCGCCATAACATTTGAAAAAAAAATTATTTAACTTATAGAATATAAAAATATTATTTAAAACTATTAAATATCAGATGAGTAAATGATAACGTTCAACATTTTTAAAACAATGTGTTGCTGAAGACTTATAAACAACTTTTCTACTAGCCTAAATACAGAAATTGTATTGTGTAGGAACACAAAAAGTAAAAACAATTTTAAAGCTGTTTGTCGATTAAATGCGTGTTTTCTTATAACTATCAAAATTTATATTCCCCACAAACTTTATTTTTAATCATTTTACAAATATGAACCAAATGTTGGCCACAGATAGGTGTTAATTAAATGATAGGTAAATACACGGGTAAATAAAAGCAAGTACCTACCAATTATTATTTCCAAATTATTATTGTGAATAACAATAGCTGATTTCTAATTTAGTAACACTATGGCATTATAACAATTTGTAAGTAGGTACTATATAATATATGAGTGCAAAAATGTACTACCTATAATAAATTTAAAATGTACTTAGATAGTTGTTTTCATTTTAATTGGTTTTCTAACTAATTAGTTAAATTATTACCTCTATTAACTATTAATACTATTATATTATAAAATATAATTGGAGGATGATTTGGGTTAAAATCAAATCAATAACCACCATTTCAGCATTTCAGGTTAGGTAGTTTACCTATTCATTAGATCAGCATGTTGGCTACAATATTATCATCTTCGACATGCACTTTATAGTATAGACTATACTAAAATAAAATAAACTTCAGTTAAAAAATTGAATAGATAAACAAACAATGACAGCTAATACTTCTGAACATTACACAAATTATCTAGGAGTTAGGACAAAGCGGGACAAAGGTAATATACCCCTCAACATTTTCCTCCTTGACATTCTCTACCCTGGAAAAACTTATCATCGTGTACTCCGTTTTTTCATCGTTTATATTCAATCCTAGCTTCCCTGCCATCGTCATGAGTTTCCTACACACTCATTTTACCACTTTTTCAGTATATCTTAATCAGACTTTGGTAGTATTCCAAATATAGTATTCAGAATACTTTCGAAATACTTTTTTTTGAAAGTATTCAATACTAATTTAATATTTTGAATACTTTTTACAAGTATTTGAGTACCGTATTGGAATACTTTTTTTCCTATAGGGTATACTCTTATATGTATATTATAAATTATATTAATTTGAATATAATTTACTCGATAATTTATAACTAATACATAGCCAGATAGGTGTGTATTATTGATATTATAATAATGTTCATTTATAAACACAGAATTGAAAAAATAATATTTATTATATAGGTATGTATTTGAAATTCTTTTAAAAAGTATTTTACCCAAGACTGCTCCTAATATTGCTATATCATCCACATAAGCTAAGATATTTATGTTTCAGTTTCCCAATGCTATTTTGTTGTTATTATTTGTATCTCTAATTACTTTTTCTAATATTAAGGCGCCCGGTGCCGATGCCATTTTGTCCTCAAAAATACACTTTGTAGAATCAACTAAATTTCATAATTTTTTTTTAATTGCTAGAGGGAAATATTCTACAGCCAGCATCGATCTCTGTTTTCAATATTTCATTCTCAAACTTTATAATTGTATTAAAAAATTTGTAAATAAATGCTTATTTACAAATTTTTTAATACAATTATATTGAAATAAAATACAAAATCAGAGATCGATGCGGACTGTAGGAAGTCTTCTTCTTTCAGATAAAAAACCAGTCATCAAAGTCAAACAATTCTAAGAATCTTGATAGTTATTCCCTTAAAGTCATTTTTGTTCGATATAATACACCCTATAAACCCCCCCTAAATAGGTTTCGGGTAGTAGATTAGTGGAAGTCTTATAATTGAGGTGGCAACTAAAATATAAAATTTAATTTTCAAATTTTATAGAATTGCAGAAAATTTGAAAAACTGGCACCGGGACCCTTAAGTTAAGCAAAATTGGAAACAGTGCATCTCCTTGTCTAAGGCTCGTATTAACTTTAGCTGGGCCTGACACTTCAAATGCTACCTTTATCTTAATTTCCGTATTTTTCAAGTTGGCCTCAATTAGTTTTATAGTTGTTAGGGAAATTGAATTATTTTAACATGTTAAAAATGCTTGTCTGTGGACAAATTGTAGGCTGTTTTTGTAATCCAAAAATAATATACACTGATTGAATTCCTACGATTTTTCCAAGATCAGCCTTGAATATTTGATCTATTGTTGAGTCTGAAAGCCCTTTGGTAATTTCCCAGAATCTCTTCAGCTATGGTTTAATCCTGTCTAATGTGCAATAGGACAATACTTTTTAGGCCACGTTTAGCAAGGCTATTCCTCTATAATTATTACATATACTTTGTGGGTCATCTTTTTTATGAATTGGGCATATCACTGCAAAATTCCAGCTATTATAGGTAGTAAATAATACCTATAGCCAAAATCATCCCATCATAATTACCAATCTCATCCCAAGATACATATTACTATCATACTCAATAGATATATTTTTTAAATTTTAAAGATAGTGCAGAATCATATGTGATAAAAACAGATCGACGAATTTCAAAAACATTGTTTGATCAACGATTAGGTAATATTGTCCCAAGCTAACCACTTAAGGTCCCCAACACACTGCAGCGGTGGCGTTAAATTCTATTGTCTTGGCTTCACTGCCGCGATGAAATGTGTCCTGCAGCAATTCACTCCCACTGCTGCAGTGTATGGGGACCTTTATAAATAATTACTAATAATTGTAATAATTATTTTATAAACATTTGTAACACACTACAAGACTAAATTAATAATCAAATTAATATTACCTCCCATTATCAATGACACCACAAACTACGGAACACACATTTCAGTTTTTAGTATTTTGTATATAAATTTACTTACTCACACAAATAACAATATAACAACATATAATATTTATTATTTTACATAATGCAGTCAATTGAACAACATTATATATATATATATTTAATAAATAACTAAATCACACATGCACAAAAGACAGTCTGTCGATATGACAATATTTTGTATATTTTGGGATCAGATAGTTTTTTATCATAGGAAGGTGATCAACATTTAGGATGTTTAGCAGAATTTTAAATATCTATATTAAAAAGTATAAGTTTAAATAGCTACCTAATAAAAATAATAATTTAATTGGTTTTTACTTTGCTAGAACTGGATACCTACCTACTGTTATTGTAGTAAAAACTAAAAAAAAATATCAATTATAGACACAGTTATATTATTTATTTAAATACCTAGTTGAATATATATAAATCATATATTTATAATAAGTACATTATTTATTAGTAAAAAGTTTATAATTAGTTTAATTAACCCTTGTTAATAAATAAATAAAAGTTTAGAGTATCTAGCAAATATAATGGGTACTTACATGGTCATATACCTACTTAACTAATACATGTTGAAAAAGCTAATGACGCTTATCTATTTTTCACATAAACATGAGCATAAAATATAGTTATTATAGAGATTATTATGAATAATAGAGTAGGTACCTACCTACCTATTGAAATTTTACTAAAATATGCTCAGATAACGATTTGGGTTAAATTATGGACATTCGGACAATATTTTAAGTGATAGACGTAATATAAAAGGTATATTTTAAACTAACTCAACTTAACTTATTTTAACAATTCAGCCAAGTTAGGCATAACTATATCTTAAACAATAACCTTGTGTTTTTACAAAATACAACATTTTAAACATGTTAGTAACCATGTTACTTTCATAAATCACCAGTTAAATCATGTATCAACCTGATAACTATATATTTTGTATTATATAACACCAATAATACATCAATACTAGTCTAGTCACCTGTATCTCAGCATTTTAGAGTGAAATAATACAATATAGATTTAATAATCATTAAAAGAACATTGTGCTATCATTACCAAAAGACCTACTGGCTACTACTACACACATGTATAATATCCTTGTATAAATATATATAGTTTTCAGTAAATTGGGCAATATTTAAGTTGTATTGCACTCGATAAAGTATAATGCGACGATTACCTATGATTTACTATTTCAAGTTGTCGTTTACGTTAAATAATAAACAATAATAATCTCGATGATAATATTAGTAACAAGTATACACTCACAGTCCAAGTGCTTCTTTTTCGGTCCGATCAGCTCTTCGGTGGTGGCCTTGCACACGGATTTTGCCAGACCTTGTCCTGCTAAACTGTGTCGGGCAGCCAGCAGTCTATCTTGTATTGTTTGACCGGCCATCGCAGACGATTCTTCGAGTATGAGTGGTGAGCGGTTTTCGTTTCTACCTCTGTCTCTGGTGTCGTTTCGCACTGCCAGGCGGACTATATACCTGGGCGGTTTTAACGAGCGTAATCGAGAAAAAATCTACCTGATCAAAGGCCCGGAAACGAATTCGAGAACGATTTTGCAGGTAGACGATTTTTTTCCTCCACCGTTACGCGCGGTTAAAGGGGAGAGACTCGAAATCCTAGCTAACGTCGTCTGTGGTGGACTGCACTGCCGTCTCAGTCTGCTAGCCAGTAGCCTGTCGCCGACGTTCCTGATAATAATAATAATGACAGCAATGAAAAAACACACACGCACACGCACACGAACTACTTATCACGGTTCAATAAGACCGTCGTCGGATTTGTATTTGCCGGTAGATCGCAGCCGCCTCGTCATCTGAGGACGAGATCGTAAATAATTTTGCGGTGGTGGTGGTCGTCGGGGACTGTCGTTTTCGCACGGCGCAAACGGACGAACAATTATTATTTTCCCCGTTTCCGACAAACGGACGTTTACGAGAGGACGGAAACCGAAAAGTTTTATTTGGGGAGGTGACGATACGAGATTCTGTTCGCGACTTCCGTCCCAGTGTTTCACTAGTCACTGGCCACTGTGGTCTGCGACTGTTCGGCGGCGGGGCTTAGCTTTAGCACTTTCGCACCCGTTCGCAGGCGCAAAAATAATATTTCAGAACCGTTTGCGCGTGCGCACACGGGGTCATGGTCGAGTTTTCCCCACCCCCGAATCAACTTCACTGTTATCACTCATCTCCAGCCCAACTGATAACAAAAAATCGCTTCCGAAACTCGAAAGTCCGACTTCCGAGTTCCGAATTTCCGATAGATCGACTTCAGAATTCAGGAGTAGTTAGTAAATTTCTTCAACTGATAGCTGATCTTTATTGGTATTTTTGAGTTTCGGACAACATATGGTGCCATAGTAATACTCAATAGACAATTTACTGACATACCTAGTCACGTAACGTGTCAGAGATAGACGAGCAGACGACGATTTAAATAGAAAACTTCATAACGATGGTTCGAACAGCTATTTTGTCCAGTTCCAATTATCGACTGTGTAAGCGATATGTAGCGGAAGAGGTAACAACTAAATGTTTTTTATCTTATATTTATAAAAAATCAATCAATTGTATACAATTATTGTTGGAAAAAATGTATATTTAGAATAATTACTGTTTAGCATGTTCCAAATCTGTTTTTTTTTTTTTATTAGGGTTAAGGCTTCGACAACTTAGGTCATTAGCCTGTGGTTCTGTAGGGGAGGGTACTGTAGATTTGTTACACGTGTGTTTGTTTTGGCAGAATTTCAAATGGGGCACCCGTAGGTTTCTGCCATGCCCGGAGTGGGGGATGGCGGCACTTGTTCTCCGGACACCGTGACTTGTCTGGAGAAAAATGCCGCCCAGTGGTCGAGGATCGAATCCGAACCGGCAGCTCTGCAGCCGACGTGTTGACCGCATGGCCACCTCGTCCCCCCCCAAATCTGTTTATTAATCAATAGAAATAATATAACACTCTATTATCTACCTACAATCTACATAGTCTGTATTATTTAATATTTATTTTAATTTTGTAACTGTCTATATCATTGATATATACTGCCAAATTCAGATTTAACCAATATTTTTTTGACCAAAAAAGTGTGCCCGATAAAGTAAAAAGTTTCAAAAAAAATATTAACTTGTAATTGTTAAAATGATTGAAAAAACAAAAATTTGTTAAAACAACTATTTAAATAAATTGAAAAAAAAAATGTGATAATTCTAATGAGTTTGTTAGATATTTTGGTGACTAAAATGTTTATTTTTAAATGTTTCAGGTTGCCTGTGCAATTAATAAAAATTCAGCAGATGTAGTAAATGATTTCATTGCTAATCTGAAAATAGGAAAAGGAAATTCTATGAACGATATTGGTTTGCATATGCCTCTCAATATTCTTCAAAAACATTTTGGAACAAATTCATTAAAAGATTTTAAAATACCAAGTCATGAAATAACAACTTCTCAATTAAATCCTTACCATGTAATAATACATTTAAATAAATATGATTTTATAAACAACATACTTAAAAACAATATTGGTATAACGTCGTTCAACATTGTGTGCAGAATTCTAAACCTTGCATCATTGACTTTAGGTAATTGGTAAGTTTAGTTCACCATGTGTATTTAAAATATAATTACTTTTCAATCACTGATCACTAAGTAAAATTAACACACTTTTCAATCATTGCAGTTCTCCAAACATTGCAAAACCATTTCATGTTGGTCATTTACGTTCAACTATTATTGGAAACTTCATTTCTAACTTAAGACATTTTATTGATGGCCGTGTTGTACGTATTAATTACTTAGGTGACTGGGGACCTCAGTTTGGTTATACTCTACTAGGATTAGAACAAATGAAACCAGATATGTCTAAAAACAATATGACAATAGAATCTTTACACAATGCATACATACTAGCCAATCAAATGGCAAAAAACAACTTGAGCATTCATGACAAAGCTAAATCTATATTCAATGATTTAGAATGTGGTAATTCTACTTCTGATATCAATAACCTATGGAATGAATTTAGATCCATCACTATTAATGAATTAGAAGTTATTTATAAGAGACTGGGAATAGTCTTCGATGAATATGATTGGGAATCAAAATATTCAAAGGAGAAAATTCAAGATGTTCTAAAACAGCTCAGTAAAATTGGTTTATTAAGACTTAAAGAAGACGGATCTACTGTTGTGCTTTCTAATAATCAAGAAATCACTATTTTAAAAAATGATAATTCTACATTATACCTGACACGGGATATCGCTGCAGCTCTTAGACGCCACAAATATTATGGTTCTGAAGATTTATTTTATGTTGTTGATAATACTCAAAGCAAACATTTTTACTTACTGAAATCCTTAATTGCACAAATTAATTCAAATATAAATGTGCATCACATTCCATTTGGAAGGATACATGGTATGAGCTCAAGGAAAGGCCAGGGAATATTATTAGATCAACTTCTAAATCAGGCAAAATCCACTATGATCCTAAAAAGAAAATATTCTGAAAGTTGGTACCTATCTATAATAATTAGGGTTTGAGACTAGCTGCATTTGTTTATTTATACAAATGTATGTTTTCCTGTGATGGTTGTAAAATATTCTAAATAAGATATAAATGAATTAATTTAAATTTTGAAATGAAATACAAAAATTAACTTTACATATTTATCCATATTTTATTATATTTTACAAAAAAGCCATTATAAACAACACATTTAAGCATTTCAACATAACTATTATAATATTAGGGCACATTCATAAACATTTTATTTTCTTCCTGATTTTCTGGTTTTGTTACCTATAATTATAGACTCTAAAATATAAAGTATTTTTTGTAATTTTAATTGCATGTTTAAAATAATGTTATTGCAACGAGTCTCAAACCCTAATAATAATGCTTTATTATTATTGTTGTTATCATCCTTTATTTATTTTAATTATTTTCAGCTACAAAATATAATTCAATGGACGATAATGAAGTAGCCGATGTATTAGGAATATCTGCTATAATAATAAATGATTTAAAACAAAAACGGAAAAAAGATTACAATTTTTCTTGGGAGTCAGCATTACAGGTATCTATTTTGATTTTATTTGATTCAACTGACCAAGTTTGTTTTAAGTTATTGATTAATTTATTCAATATTTAATCAGTTATTTTAAGGATATATTTTTGTCAAATTTTAAAATCTTCTACCATATATTATTGACAATAATTACATAAAATCAGGAAGTACTGAGTATATCTTATTTATTTATTATTAGGTAAATGGAGATACTGGCATTAAACTTCAATATACCCATTGCCGTTTAATAAGTTTAGAAGAAGTTAATTGCAATATAACCTTACCAAATGAAGTTATTGCAGAATGCTTTACTGAAACTGTCGCATTGGACTTAATTTTAGAAATATGTCGGTAAGTTATTTTTAACAATATAAATAAGGATCTAATTATTATATTATAGTATTATGTGTAATAACATTTGTCATTTAGTATTATATTTTCAAGATGTCTATCGATTTTTGATATGATGTAGATTCTGAAAATAATTACTGAAGGTTACAATTTTTGTCAAAAGTCTATGTGATGTTGAATTTTTTTATTCCATTTTTATGACTCAATTCAACATAAGTTGAATACAGCAATTTAAAAATGTTCTTAATGTTTTAATTTGTTTGTTCGAAACTTATAAGTTATAATGATAAATCAAAAAATGTAAGATAAAAGATAGTAGATCTAAAGTAAGTCTCATGAAAAACTAAAATCTGCATTTATTAATCTTATGAATTGACATAATAGAATTAATATATTGGATATGAAATACACAAAAAAATAGCCAACTTCCCTTTCTAATCTCCTTAAATAGCAGTTTATTGGAAATTATTACAAATTAAAGTTTATACCATTTTACATCACTGTACCTCTAATAAAAATGTATAATAATTAAAATATAATACAAATTTGTTTTTTTTCAGATTTGAAGATATATTAACTGAAACTAATCAGGAATTAGAAGCATGTATTTTAGTTAACTATTTATTTCGATTATCCAATTGCATCAACAAAGCCTTAAAAGTTTTAAATGTTAAAAATGCTAGCAGTACCATTGCTCAGCAAAGAATTTTGTTATTTTGCAGAGCTAGAGAAACACTAAGTGCTGGAATGAAAATTTTAGGATTAGTACCATTAAAATGTATGTAATTTCATATCACCATCATGTAATTTTAACTTATTTTACTTAGTAATTTCTGTTCCACTGTACAAATATAAAGAATAAACATAATTAATTGTTTTTACTTAAACTCTCATTTAATGTTAAAACCTACTATAAATATATTTATATATTACTCAATTATTATAAATAGTCTAAGATATTTCAATCTCCACGG